CCGGGCACCGCGTCTGGAAGCCGCGCGGGCCCCTCGGACTTGGCCTGGGGTGGAGCGCCGCCGGCAGACCCTGAGGAGCACTTGGGGCGGAGCCGGGGAAGGTTTGTTTTGGTGTGCGCTGTAGTTGTCGGAGTTAAAGGGGAGGGCCAGGGGGAAGAGCTTTCACCCGGCGCACACAGAGCTGTCAGCCCGCTTCCGACGAGATTGTTAACTGTGACTGCTCACTCTGAGCCCCACCCCTCCACCCCGCCCCAGACACAGATTTTGCTCTCCTGGATTGTCCACAAACATCTTCACTGCTTTCATTGTACTGATGCTGAGTACCTGCCGCCACACGCCAGCCATTGCATTTATAAGATCCCAAAACTACGGGGTTGGTGTGGTTGTGCGCTAGCAGACCAGTGGGACCTAGGCAGATAACCTAGTCTTCGTGCCATTGATTTATTCCAAGGGCTGCCTTTCCGCAAAGGTTTTCTAGTCACAAAAGTAGTTTTCCCTTTCTGAAAAGCCTAATCCCCCCCGAGAAACTGATTTTTAATATGCTAATATGTTTTCGTTAAGTCATATATTAATATATTTTTAAAAGATGTGATTCTAGGCATCTGCTTCTTAAGGACTTCCCTGAACCATTTATATAAATATATATATACATTACATTACTTTATTAAATCCCGTAATCATCAGCCAGCAACAATCTTCTAAGAATCAGATAGTGATGAATTTTCTTCTTCTTTTTTTTTTGTGGTGTGTGTGTGTGTGTGTGTGTGTGTGTGTGTGTGTGTGTGTCTGTGTGTCTGTGTGCACGCACTGGGGCTTGAGCTTAGGGCTTCACAGGCATGAGCCACTATGGTCCAGCCTGAAGGTATCATATAAAGTAGGTATTTGTAGTGGATGTTATATTTTTAAAATTGAATGGCTTTTAAAAATTGAATTACAAATATACACCTGTCTGGCAGTAAAACTTGCCCCACTGACATTTTTGACACTTTCAATTGTAAATGGTAAAATAAAATGGAGTCTGTTTAATTTATCGTTTGTACTGTACAGGATGCATCCTTTAGGGGATATGGGCTTTATTAAATTATTTTAAATTGAGAGATATTTTTTAAAGTTAGGCAAGACAATAAGGATAGTAATTTTTACCTTTATTTTACAGATATTAAAAATAATTGACTTTTACAAATTATGTGGATAATACTAAAGCAGTTTCTGGTAGAGCGCTAACCTTGAGCTGAAGAGCTGAGGGACAGCACCCAGGCCCAGAGTTCAGGCCCCAAAGAGTTCAGACCGGACCAAAAAAAACAACAACAAAAAAAAAACAAAACTAAAGCAATTTCCTACATATACCTTGCTTCTCAAGGTAATAGATTTCATAAAAGATCCAAACAAGGGAAGTGATCTCATCTACTTACTGCCTAATCTTTCTTTATTCTACTTAGTGTAATATTTCACAGCAGGTAAATATTTACTGTATAAATTCAGTGATGAGTACTGTTTCTTTTGCTTCTCCATTTTTGACTCAGCTAGTTTACTAGATCGTTTCCTCATTGGAGGTGATTAAAGAAAAGACAAGGTTTTGTATTTCAGAATTGTATTGCAAATTCGTTTTAAGTTACGTTTAAAAATTCCATTGATATGCCTGGCCCTGATTTGTACGCACAGTTATCTGGGTTTTCTTTTAATTATTTTATTTGCATAATATCTTTCCTGTGAAATAATAAAATTGCTGATTTCAGTTATAATTTACATATGGTATATGTCAATATCTTTATTGAGATCTCAATCTTTACAATTATTTAGATAATATTATTGAAGCTATTCTCCATGTCTAAGTAGTTGATGGTACATATCAATTAATATCCATATCTAGTAGTAGGGTCTAATATATATTTACTATTGAATGACTTTTAGGTGGGGAGGAGTTGTAGGTCACTTGTATGCTTTAAGTAATCTGCAAATTCAGCAAAAATGAACAAAGTGTTATTTATCAATTTAGGCTGATTACTTTTCAGAGTTACCAAACTGAGTATTTCTTCCATATCACTTAATGAATTTGCTGTTTACTTTCATACCTCAAATCAGAGATGTTGATTATATAAATCAAAGTGGATATATATATATATATTGTATATATTCTAGAGGAAATATAACTGGATTCAAAGTTGTCAGTGCCGTTAGCTAGTGTTCCCTTAACAAGCCATGTTTCACCTACATAGTTTCTAGTTCTGCCATCAGTAAAATAATGGGCTAAAACTTTGGTAATTTTCAGTGATCAACCTCTTAATAATGATTCTTATGCAAAATGTGTTCATATTTGAAGTTTTTCCAAATATGAACAGGGTAACTGCGATATCTATGGTTATAGCAACTAAATGAGGCATATACACTTTTGTGTAAACAAAATATTTCATACTGTGTCTTTCATTTTGCAATTACCTACTGATCCCCTGGGAAAACTAAAGTGTATAAAGCCAATACAAACAAAAAAAATCTATTATCACACATATCATTCTAGTGTATCTATACACTTACATAGTAATGTATTTTTCTTTGTCAAACACTTTTAGGCATAGTCTCAATTTTGGTTTAAAGGTATAAGTACATAATTTTTTAGGTTTTTAACAAAGCCTTATACAAGTACAATGTTGCTATTGTTTTGAATTTTGGAAGTGAGCTTTTTGGTTAGATAATCAAGAAAAGAACTGAATTGAATTTTAGTTTACTCTTTTCCAGTGAACATTTATGTATTATAAATAAAAATGATTTATATTATACTTATTTCAGTAGTATTAGAGAGATAATAGGCCACTTAAGAGTTCTAAATTTCACACAGCTCCAAAATATTCACAAACTGACTTTGGCTGTATGCATTAACTTGTATTTTTTTCTGTACATGTCTTGTATCACTTAGAAATTTGAAAATTTAAATTATTATTTTTTAAGTTTAACAATCATTTTTTATTCACAGAAAATAAGTATTAGTTATTTTTCATATCCATTTAAGCCAGAAAAGTCTATGAAACTTTTATCTCTAGTTAATCACCAAAAAGATGGAAGTGGAGATGTGTGGTTCAAGTGGTAGAGTGCCAGCTTTGAGGAAAAAAGTTAAGGGACAGTGCCTAGGCCCTGAGCAAACACTCAAGTACTGGAGAAGGAAAGAAGGAAGGGAGGGAGGGAGGGAGGAAGGGAGGGAAGAAAAGGAAGAAAGGAAGGAGAGAACTAAAAAACAAAAGGAAAAAGAAAGGAGTAGGTAGAAACATTTATTACTTATGTGGAGATATTCTATGAATATGTGCATTATACAGTGGAAATCCATGGAGACTAGAAATATAGAGAGCTTTTTATTAAATGGCCCCATAAGACAAGGTGCTTGAAGTTCTTAGTTTTTGCATTCTTCTTTTTCTTCCTACCAAGTTAGCTGTTATTTCTTTTGACTCCACCTGTTTCTAACAGCTCTTTTCTTTTTGCACTTTCCATCTTGACTTGCTGATTTATTATTATTGTGAGCTAGGAAAGTCACAATAACTAAGCTTAGGAATTAAAAAAATGAGAAAATCCTAGGCCCAAGTTAAATGAGAACTTTAATGATCTTAAAATTTTATTGCTGAATAATCAGAAAATTTGTCTGCTGCTGTGATTGAACTTAGTAAGAGAAATGCACACCTTAATGAATATCATTGGTAGTATATTCCTTTAAATTTTAAATTCAGTGACTCAGTTTTGTTACTACTTGATTGAGTATGCCTTATAAGAGTGTTCATGCCTTGATTGTTAAGATTATTATACTTTCAACTAAAGTTGTTTTAGCAGTAGAACTAGACTTTTAGCAACATTAGTCATATTGTCTTAAAATTCAGTATTATCCCTAAGGATACTGCCCAGCCAGTAGATGTTCAAAACCGAGAGATACTTTTATCACCTATTGGTACTATATAGACATTTCAACATTACAAAATGCCATTATCATTTATTCAAAATTAAAATCCACTTATAAAAGCTTGGCATCAAAAGCTTCCAGCCTCCTTCTGATTTCAATTGATTAACTATTAATTCCATAAAGAAATCTTCCTTGCCTACTGCTTATGAAATTAAGGAATATTCTCTTTATATGCTACACTCTCTGAATTGGTTACAAGAAGAAATTAATGTTGATGGTTAAAAAAATTGCTTACCAGCAAATCTAGGTTCAGGACAAGTGTCAACAGAAAAGAGCTATCTCTCAGGTATTTCCTAAAGGATTTTTGTTTTGAAGGTAGCTTGATAAATATTCACTGAATCTCATCTAGTCTTCTATTTACTCTTAAAGATTTATAAAGTACGTTTTTTTTGATTAGTCCAAAGTACTATATAGCTTCTGGGTATGCAGGCTATGTTGTTCTATACTCTTCTCTCTTTGGTGGCTTTTATACAATTATGCAATGGTAACATTCCATTAATGTAAATTAGAATAATCATAACAAGCAATCACAGAATATATTAACCGAAATTTATTTACATCTACTGGATGCATGGATATTTAATTAACACTTTACTTTTTCTTATGTAGCTGTGACAAATTTTAGTGTTAAATCTGTGACCAATTGCTAAAAGAGTGTAGAACATCATAGTAATGCATTCTTATCCTTAGCCCTATCATGTTCTATACTTTTAATATAAATATTGACTTATGACACATATTCAGAAAAATAGAAATAGAATAAACATACTGTTCACTCTGTTTATTCCAAAGCATTGAAAATTGTTTCCTGTTTTTTTCTAAAGCTGTTTTATTCTTTTTTTACTTTTATGTGAGTATATCTGTAATTTATTTTTATTTATAGTATTTAAAGTGGCAGTCAGGATTA